TTTTTTAAAAAAAAATGGAATAAAAAGTTTGTGCTATTTTGATGAAGTGCTTGTTATTGAATTAATGGCTCTGTTCCGGTATTCACTGATAGACTGGCGAATAAAATGTGAATGAATTTATGTATGGAGAAGTCATGCGAGGAAAATCTTTGGGGATGAAAAATTTTACACGCTTCCTTTCATAATAAAATTGAAGAGCATGTAGGAAAAATAACAGTAGCATCTAGCACAACCAGCAGAGATTTTAGTTCAATAAAATAAATTTTTTTTGTTGATTTATGACAATTGGATTGCCATTGCTTCTTACACTTGATAGCTTATTCTGATATCAATTTAGTTTGGATTTTAAGAATTAGAATTTAATGTCCTTGCATGATGCCGTAGCTCAATAGGCAGAAACTTATAAGAATCAGACAAAATAAATAAAGATTGTTACCAAGAAAATCAAAAGTTCAACTATCGATGAAAGGCAGACGAGGAAGAAGAAAAATGTAAATTTCCTCGATCCCTCAACTCACACACAACCCTCTGACATGCAATAAATTCACTACAAATCGATAATATATTGGCGATAATTACCCACATTCAATGCGACATGTACTGAATTACAAGAGCAAAGGAAATTCTAGATTAAGAAGTTCTTCTTGTGTATGCTATAGACTTGATTAAAATTTATATTACAAGAAATGAAATCAATGGTAAAATTTACAAAGAACTGATGAAAATGTATCTTAAAGCTACTCATAAAAGGAAGGAGGTTTAGTATGTATTTCAATCTGTTTCATTAATGGAAGCAACAATGTGGCATGATCCTTGATTGATGATCTGAAATTCGCCCATGAAAATTCCATCAATTTAGGACCTAAAGAAAATTCACAGCAATATTTTGTCCATAGACATTTATGTAGTAACATTACGTAAGCATTAATAATCCTCGTGTGAATATTTCTCCCCAGAATAGGCAAGGATGTATGCAGAAGGGATAACATACGCACATTCCGATATATGAAATCATTAAACTAAATTGATATTATCGGCTTAAGGATGTGAAGGATCATTATTTGAGTATCAATGAAATGTAAGAACTTGACACTTACCATGAGGAAAGTCTATCGATTCCATCACACAGCAGCACAGCCATCATAATTCTAATAATTGTTTCGTTAGTAAAACGTCGAGTGGAAAAAAAACTGTGAAAAAGACAGAAAAATCTCATAAACACACCCCCCATTTTAGAGCTGTGTATCCAAGCGCATGTCTGAATGGAATGAAGGAGTCATTAAAGTAAAAAAATAAAATTACGGCACATCTCTAACTATTCATTTATCTGAGATTTTCATTCTTCCTGTTTTAATTTATTTATTATTTTCATTATTTAATGCGGGTGACACAATTTTCTATATCCGGAATCCTTTTCTCATTCCTGTTTTCCTTTCATTGAAACCTTTAAAATCAATTTCTGATCAATTACAGGAGATAAGGAGAAAATCTCTTGAATTATAATTCAAAACATGTCGCATTGAATGTGGGTAATTATCGCCAATATATTATCGATTTGTAGTGAATTTATTGCATGTCAGAGGGTTGTGTGTGAGTTGAGGGATCGAGGAAATTTACATTTTTCTTCTTCCTCGTCTGCCTTTCATCGATAGTTGAACTTTTGATTTTCTTTGGTACGGATCTTTATTTATTTTGTCTGATTCTTATGAGTTTCTGCCTATTGAGCTACGGCATCATGCAAGGACATTAAATTCTAATTCTTAAAATCCAAATTAAATTGATATCAGAATAAGCTATCAAGTGTAAGAAGCAATAGCAATCCAATTGTCATAAATCAACAAAAATTTTATTTTATTGAACTAAAATCTCTGCTGGTTGTGCTAGATGCTACTGTTATTTTTCCTACATGCTCTTCATTTTTATTATGAAAGGAAGCGTGTAAAATTTTTCATCCCCAAAGATTTTCCTCGCATGACTTCTCCATACATAAATTCATTCACATTTTATTCGCCAGTCTATCAGTGAATACCGGAACAGAGCCATTAATTCAATAACAAGCACTTCATCAAAATAGCACAAACTTTTTATTCCATTTTTTTTTAAAAAATCTCTTCTCCCTCGCACGATTTATGTGCATTTTGAGAAATTGATAAGGGATGATTCGCATGCTTGACCTTCAGTGCACTCTTCTCTCCTGCTTTTTGGTACTTTTTAACATGTTTTCTGATTTTAAATTGAGGGTTGGATTTGTGGAATGATTTTAATTTGTGAACAATAAGAATCACTTCATTATTGTCATTAAATTGTGATTTAAATTAACTTTAAACTGATTTTGGTTTGATTAATGAACTGGAAAATTCTTTAAGAATTTTAAAAGTTACAGCCAAAAATATTTTATGACCCAAAAAAAGACGAAAGTTGCTTGAAGGAATTAAAGTGAGAAGATAATTGACACTGAGTATAATGTGAATTGTTGGAATGTCATAAAAAGTTGTCATAAAAAATGAATCGATAGATGAAGATTAGATGGAAGCAAGTAAGTCAGTCAGAGACGAAACTGTAAAGATTTATTTTTTTTTTTGTGGTGTTTTGTCTTCCACCTTGATAATGTGAATGGGGTTGAATGCAATTTGTCGATGCCATGTTGTGTGACTGCAAAGAAGACGAGAAATGAAGAAGAATAGATTGAACAACATTGTACCTTCTCCTCCCTTACATCAATCTAATCAGATCGCTTTTTTCTTCTTCTTTTTGTTTTTTTTGTGTTCATCGAAATTTTCATTTTGTGACTGAATAAAATAAACTCATTCACTGACTGCATTCAGAACTTGTTTTGTGTGTCGCATGATAATAAAAAAAAGTAGCAAGTTCATCCCTGTAGAATTCGAGTATATAGAATTGTCTTGTGTCTTATTATTTTAATAAACATCTCACAATCTCAATCACCATAAATAGTGTCATCATCAATGATACCAGCAGGACAAAACATCCCCGTTCTACTTCTTCTTCTCATTTTGATTCTGATTTTTTTTTATCTCACTCAAATTCATTCAATATCAATTGATACATAAAAAAAATTTCTGCCATTGCCACTGCCGTATACAGCAATTTGTTGTGCAAAGAAAACAGAAAGAAACACTCATTCAATAAAAAATAATAAAGTTTAGGTAATGATCGAAATCGAATAAATTGACCTAAACATTCTCGAGGGGATTTCTGTTCTGTTATATTTCGGAGGTGGTAAAGTTGCTGAAAGTCCATCTGTTATCCTTTTCCTGTATCTTTTTTACCAATTTTCTAAATAATCATGTTATTTTTTTAATCCTGTGAATTTTATCTGTTTTTACATTTTATTAAGATGTAGGGATGAGTAGGGATGAATATTTGCATCTAGGCATTGTAGATCTATTGGTACAGTCATAAAAAATGGCAAAAAAAACGTCTTGTAGATTAATTTCTGTGGTTTAATGGTTTGTAGTTTTGTAAACTTCAATTATTTTGATTGTACTGATGCCTAGCTTGTGTTTAAGACCTGCCAATGTAGCAAGTTTAAATTATAACCCAATCAATTTAGAAACCTTTAATTTCAGATCTTTAATCAGCTTAAACTTCCAGTCAAGATAAAAAAAAATGTAATTCAATTGAGACTCCACACACATGTGCTCAGACCGACACACATAAAAAAGTGGAAGAGAAATAAAAAAAAAGTATTTGCATCATAGATGACAGATTAAACACGCAGTTATGCACTTGAAAAACAATAAGAACATTTTCACTGGTAGAAAAGAGAACAAAGACATTCAATAAAAGACACTGCACTCACATATTTTTTTATGAATTCAAGTACTCTCTCGGATCTTCTTCTTGCTTCTGTGGTTCATTGTGTGCATAATGAAAATACACTTGAAATATCATAATAATAAAAAAAGATCTTCTCTTAAATATTCCATAATTGAATTTTGTACCGGAAAAATCAATGCCATTATATTGATTGCGAGGCTTCAAAGAGGGAAGCTACAATTTAAGTTTATTGATTTTCCTTCGATTTTTAAGCCGGGAAAATTGTTTAATATGCGGAAAATATTTTTCTGCTTCTTTTTATTATTTCAATTCCTCCTTTCTTTCTTTTTTATATGACAGCAGGTTCTTTATGTGGAGTGTATATAATTTAAAGAGGATCTTTTTGTGCTCATGATTTAGTATAGATTTACTCTACAAAATTTATGTCTATTGATAGGGTGATAAAAGACAAAAAATTAGGAAGGGGATGAAAGATTGACTCACTTTTTATTGACCTCTTCAAATCCTCTCTCGTCTTTTTGCTTCTGCTTTGTTTGTTTACTCAAATCATGCTGAGTTAAATTGTGCATTTTTAAGGGACTGAGCATCATTTGTCACCAAGATTGGATTGATATCCTTGAATTTTGGACTTCCTGTTGCGATTTGACAAATTTATAGAAACTTATCAGATTTGTTATGAAGGAGGTACAATGCATAAACTTTAAAATTCATCAGGTACAAAATATAAATAAAAATTCAAAAACCAAAAACTTAACTTTTCAAACATGATTTAGATGCAATTGAAGAAGGCTCCTGCTACGTCCAATAAGTAAAGAATTTTGAACAATACACAGAAAGTGCTGAAAATTAACACGTGTTTGGAACATCATAGTTTTATAATAAAAAAACTACGTTCAAAGCTTAGGGGCTGTTCACTTATTACGTAACGCGAAAAAATGACTTCTTAGACCCCCCCCCCCTCGTAACAAAATTTGTATGAAAAAAAAATTTCCTTGTTTGAACCGTAACAAAATCTTAGACCCCCCTCCCCCCCCTAAAAGCGTTACGTAATAAGTGAATGGCCCCTTACTTAAATTACCTTTATTTCATACAAAACCATAAACTGAGCTTTTTAAAACAAAAATGTGGCGTTGACTATTAAATATTAATTTAAATGATTTATCGATTTTATAGTCGTCATCCTCAATATCAAGGCGAAAATGCAAGTGAGGAAAAATTCTTTTCGTGAGCTATTCAAATTAATCGGGAAAGTCAATGGATATGAGGCACGTTCGGCATGTTATCACAATTTAATTGATGTTTTCAACTCACGACTATCCTTTAAAGAAAGTAAGTTCAAATAAAAAATACACAAATGAGCTTTTTTCATGTCCGACTATTTGAAATTTTTCATTTTATTTTTAAAGTGGGTAAGGTAAAGTTTTTATCAGTCAGTCCTACTTTAGACATGCAATTGAAAGCTGTTCTCGCAATATGTGGCGTGTTTCTTGGCTGCTGCTCGAACGTTGTGTTTTTAGAATTAATAGTGAGGTATGTGCTACATTCATATTCAAATTTGTGTCAATAAACTCACATGATTACATCATTTTAGGTTTGATCCAGCTGCTGGACATTTAGTGACATTTTCACAATTCTTTTTCATTGCTATTCATGGACTTATATCAACATCAAAATTCTTTTCCGTAAAGCGAATCATACCAATGAGGGATTATGCAATTTTAGTCACGATGTTTTACGTATCGACTGTTTGTAATAACTATGCATTTAATTTTAATATTCCAATGCCATTATTGATGATATTTCGGTCAGGTTCACTAATGGCAAATTTGATTTTGGGAATATTAATTTTAAATAAGAAGTACGATTTATGGAAGTATTTATCAGTCATATTGATAACAATTGGCATTTGTATTTGCACAATTGTTTCTGGAATGAGTTTAGACATAAAAGGTGATAACAATTCCAGAGATAAAGACTATGGATTTAGTATGTTATTCTGGTGGTGCATTGGAATCGGTATGTTGACAATATCACTGTTTGTATCGGCTAGAATGGGAATATTTCAAGAAGTTCTGTTTAAAAAGAATGGAAAACATCCAGATGAAGCTTTATTCTATGCGCATTTACTGCCACTACCTGGATTTATTCCACTTTTGTCAAATATCCTGGATCATGCATCTATTGCATTTCAATCATCACCAGTTTTTATTCCTATATTAGCAATTGAGATGCCCATACAAGTGCTTTATATTATTGGAAATATGCTTACGCAGTTCTTATGCATTCGATCAGTTTATATCCTCACAACTGAATGCTCATCATTGACAGTGACATTAGTCGTAACATTAAGAAAATTTGCATCATTATTATTTTCAATATTTTACTTCCGGAATCCATTCACATCATATCACTGGCTTGGTACTCTATTTGTTTTCATCGGAACTGTGATATTTGTTGAAATAATACCTAAAATAAGAGACTCTTGTGAGACAAGAAAGCAAATGAAAACAATTGATAAGTTTTATCTTGATGATACGCCACGTGTGCATGTGAGTTATAAGCCATTGCCTCAAGATGACGAGAAACATAATTTAGATGATAACTGATGAATAAATCAAATGTGTGTATGTATATATGAAATCATAAAATAACTACGAGACTGTAAATCAATCATGACGACATTAATTATCCAATTTCCCTTAAAATCTAATCCTGCCTCTCTCTGTTACGGACCATGAATGATCAGTTGACTTCATTAAACTACCGTACTCGTTTAATTTCATGGTAATTTTCCTCAATTACATCGTCAACAATACAACAATCTACCAAAACAAAAGGCACATTTGGAAACCTTCTTTTATACATTTCCGACCACTCTTCTCTGTCACATAATTAAAAACCATTCACAACTCCACCCATTATGCATCCTACAAGTTGATTTTCTTATGAAACAAGAACACAAGCCACAAATTTAATTTTAAATTCACCCTTAGCAGCATGCCGATGGAGAGGGAAAAAGTGTGTGTCGTGGAAAATTGAGAATTTTAGTGTGTGCCTGCATAGAAGTAGGGAAAATAAAAGTATAACAAAATACTATTTTATTGCTTTAATCGGAGTCAAAGATTTTAGTTATCCTTTAAAATTTTCTTTTCACGCTTCTTCTGTGATTCTTTTATAATTTTCGTGAGGAATACGGGAAATTCTTAAATGAGGGTAGCTGGATGTGAAAAATGTAGGGTAGGAATACACACCTTACTGCTCCTTATTCTTATGAAAACATTTTAGCATTATCTGATGACTTAATTTTAAATTAATTTTATGCTTTATTATATTTTATACTTATTACGTGAACTTTTATAAATAAAATGAGAAAGATTGTAGATCTTGACTATATGTAATTATGACTTCATTGTCACTTAATAATTTTAAAATGATTATAATTATTCGTTAATATAACACGGATGAGATTTTAAATAGAACAAGGATCATCATGAATAAGTGCATTATTATAATTCTTTAAAAATCCGTTAAAATATTTCAACTGTCAATTTCAAATTCAAATTCTACAAAAAAAAACCAAAAAAATTAACAGTCATGTAAAATTCAAAAAAATAATTCAACTTCAAGTCAAATTTAATAAACACGCCTGATTTTTCAAAAATATTAATAAAATTAATAATAATGGGGGATGTAGACGATTTATTCGCGTGTTTTGATGAGGAACCAGCAGAACAACAGACAGCAGTTCCAATTGTGATGGATGTTGATGTAAAAGAGGAGGAAATTACAGAAATTGAGTAAGTCGTTAAAATTTGTAAACAACAAAAATGTGTTGATTGAAATTATTTTAAGGAACGATGTTGAGATCTCTGGAACTGCTTCAAAACGACATATAGACGATAGTGACGAAGATGGACCATCAAAAAAGCAACGTGTTGAATCATTATTAGATGACATTAAGTGAGTTATTTATATTTTTCAATTATTTTCAACAATTCTGATTACCATTTCTTATAGTTTGGAGGCAATTGATGCACAGATTAAGATTCACATATTAAAGAGCCCAGATGCTTGTCTTCATGAAGTCGCAGTACATCCAAATCAAGAATATGTTCCATTAAAGCCAGCCGTTGGAGAACCAGCAAAAGAATATCCATTTATCCTTGATCCTTTCCAAAAAGAAGCAATTTTATGCATAGAAAATGATCAATCAGTTCTTGTATCTGCACACACTTCTGCTGGAAAAACAGTTGTAGCTGAATATGCAGTCGCTCGAGCATTATCAATGAAACAAAGAGTAATTTACACAACTCCAATTAAGGCTCTTTCAAATCAGAAATATCGAGAGTTTCATGAAGAATTTCAAGATGTAGGCTTAGTCACTGGAGATATCACTATAAATCCATCAGCATCATGTCTTATTATGACGACAGAAATTCTCCGTAATATGCTCTATCGTGGATCTGAAATTATGAGAGAAGTTGGATGGGTTGTGTTTGATGAAATCCATTACATGAGAGATAAGGAACGAGGTGTTGTTTGGGTAAGTAGATCAACTTATGATTTATAACGATTTCTGAAAGTTTAAAGTTTAACGGTTTTCAAAAATTTGAATTTTTTATCGACATTTTTAAAACTTAACGAAACTTATTGTTTGAATCCTAAATGACGGTTATTTTTCATATTATTTTAGGAAGAAACTTTAATTCTGCTTCCTGACAACGTTCACTATGTATTCTTATCAGCCACAATTCCGAACGCTCGACAATTTGCAGAATGGGTTTGCCATATCCATCAACAGCCATGTCATGTAGTTTATACAGATTATCGTCCAACTCCACTTCAACATTATTTGTTTCCTGCGGGAGGTGATGGAATTCATTTAGTTGTGGATGAAAAAGGAAATTTTAAGGAAGATAATTTTAATGCTGCCATGAATGTTTTAATTAAAGCAGGAGAAGCTGCAAAAGGAGACAAGACAGGTAGAGGAGGTGGAATCAAAGCTACAAATCGTAAAACTGGTGAAACAAACATCTTCAAAATAGTCAAAATGATTATGGAAAGAAGCTTAGCTCCTGTCATTATTTTCTCATTCAGCAAGAAAGAATGTGAGACAAATGCACAGCAAATGGCTAAACTTGACTTTAATTCAGCTGAAGAAAAGAAACTTGTCGATGAAGTTTTTAGTAATGCAATGGATGTGCTTAATGATGATGATAAGAAGTTACCACAAGTTCAGAAATTATTGCCATTACTTCGTCGGGGGATTGGAATTCATCATGGAGGCTTGCTGCCAATTTTAAAGGAAACAATTGAGATACTCTTCGGTGAAGGATTATTAAAGGCACTTTTTGCTACCGAAACATTTGCTATGGGTCTAAATATGCCTGCAAGAACTGTTGTCTTTACTAGCAGTCAAAAATTTGATGGAAAAAGCTTCAGAACATTAGCAAGTGGAGAATATATTCAAATGTCTGGACGTGCTGGTCGTCGAGGCTTGGATGATAAAGGTATTGTAATATTGATGGTCGACGAGAAAGTTTCCCCTGCAATTGGACGTGAAATAGTTCAAGGAAAACCAAATGCTATAAATTCAGCTTTTCACCTTACTTACAATATGGTCTTGAATTTGTTGCGTGTTGAGGAAATTAATCCAGAATATATGATTGAGCGATCATTCTTTCAGTTCCAAAATCAATCAAATATCCCAGATTTGTATAAAAAGGTACAAAAGAGACAGGAAGAATTGCATAACTTTCATATTAATGATGAAACATCTATTAAAAGTTATCATCATATTCGCGAACAATTGGACAGTTTATCAGCAAAATATCAAAAGTTTTACACTCATCCACAATACCTTAAACCTTATCTTCAGCCTGGACGTTTAATAAAAGTTAAAAGTGTGGAACACGAGTATGAATGGGGAATGATTCTTGACTTTAAGACAGAGAAACTTGACAGTTCTAAAAATCCATTAAAAACTGACAGTAAATTGATTGTTGAAGTATTGCTGCACCTTGATGATACTCCAGACAATTCTAAAACTCTACTCCCATGTCCAACAGGTAAAAATGGACGATTTGAAGCAGTTCCAATTGATAGTACAACAATATCAAAATTGAGTAGCTTAAGAATTCATTATCCAAACGATTTAAGGTCACATGACGTCAGACGTGGCATCTTAAATGATATTTTGAATGTCAAAAAGAAATTTCCAACTGGATTACCGCTTTTAAATCCAGTTCAGGATATGAAGATTAAGGATAAAGAATTTTTGAATATTTTGGAATTGCTTGAGAAATTTGAGAAACGACTTTATGCACATCCATTAACAGACTCACCAGAACTGAATGAACTTTATAGCAAATTTATGGAAAAGCAGCAAATGGAAGCGGATTTAATACAAGCTAAAAAGTCACTGAAAGATGCTAAAAGCCTTCTTCAAATGGATGATTTAAAGCACCGCAAACGTGTCCTTCGTCGTCTTGGTTACTGCACAAATGCTGATGTTATTGAGTTTAAAGGACGTGTAGCATGCGAATTATCATCTGGAGATGAACTCTTAATCACCGAAATGATTTTTAATGGAACATTTAATGACTTGGGTGCTGCTCAATGTGCTGCATTACTCTCATGTTTTGTTTGTGATGATCGAGCTTCTGAACAGGTAATTGATGCTGAATTGCAAGCACCGCTTAAACAAATGCAGGATTTTGCACGACGAATTGCAAAAGTGTCAAAAGAATGTAAAATGGAAGTGGATGAGGATGAATATGTTGAAAAGTTTAAAACAACTTTAATGGAAGTTGTATTAAAATGGTGCAAAGGATCGTCGTTCCTTCAAATTTGTCAAATGACTGATGTCTTTGAAGGAAATATTATTCGTTGTATGCGTCGATTAGAGGAATTAATGCGACAAATGGTTCAGGCATCTAAAACTATAGGCAATACTGACTTGGAAAATAAATTTTCTGAAGGCATTAGACTATTGAAACGTGATATCGTGTTTGCTGCATCACTGTATCTTTAAATTTATGATTTTTTTTATGCTTATTGTGAACTTGAAATCTGAACATGAAATAAAATTTTAAAGAAGTTTAAATTCTTATAAAGCAATAAGTGTGCGGCTCTTTAAACTACTCAAAATTTTGGAGCTCGCTTATTTTCAATATTGCAATCATTTTGCAAAGGGGCTGTTCACTTATTACGTAACGCGAAAAAATGACTTCTTAGACCCCCCCCCCCCTCGTAACAAAATTTGTATGAAAAAAAATTTCCTTGTTTGAACCGTAACAAAATCTTAGACCCCCCCTCCCCCTAAAAGCGTTACGTAATAAGTGAATGGCCCCAAAGTTCAAGTGATTTTAAAACATCAATGACCTCAAAAAAAAATCCACTTGATTAAAAAATTTCGAGAGGATTGAAAACAAAAATTTTGAGAGGCATCGCTTAAAAATACCGTCGATTCCATTTTATTGCTCAGTATTCGAAAGAATTTTACGCAACACATTTCGCGCTTCTTGTGACACATTTATCACGTGCTACACCTTCCTGACATTTCCATTATGGAATTTTCCATTCACCAATACATTAGAAAAGTCAGTCCACGATGTAAATAGGACTTGCCTGATAAAAGGATTTTCCACAAGAATTTTCCATCATATCGCGATAGACTTTTAACGTGAACGGACGGTTTAGTCATTGATCTTACGGTTGAAAAAGAAATTGTGCGTGAATCAGTTGGTAGGATTTAAAGGATGTTAATTAGTTAAATTATTTTGTGGATTTCCGGAAAACTTGAAAGTGAAAATCCAGTGAAAAATTAAAGAAAAGTTTTTTTTTTGTGTAAAGTCTTTCGCGATGATGATAAAAAAGGATATTATCGAACTGCGCAATCGCTGAACGTGGAGTCTTCCTTTAATGCCTCCTCGTAGTATTTTTTCATCGTACTAGTGAATGCTACACACAATAAACTCTCATTCTCTCTTCCTTTCTATGTGGATAACATAATTCTCATGACCGGATTTTTTTTTTTACACCAAAGAAGTTTTGTGCTGAAGGAAGGGAAAGAGCCGTTTTTGCTCACAGAGCAGGCAAAGAGTAAAAAAAATTATTGGAAAGATTTTTTTTTTGTTTTTTCCCATACAAAAATTTGAGGAAAGAACAAAAAAGTTTTTTTGATTTTAATTTAATTTTTCATGTGCTTTTAAGTTTGAAATTTGTGAATAAAAGTGTTGGAAATTATAAAGCAATTAACTCTAGCGTGCATACAGCATAAGAATCAATGTGCACATCAATTATTTTAAACTAGATGAATTGGACTTTTTAAGAGAATTTCAAACATTTGTGATTGCATGCTTTTGTGCATTTAAAACTAAGAGAAAATTTAATCAAAACATTTGCAATAAGTTAATGCTTATTTGTGAAAGTCAATGAATTTAATTGTGACAATAATTTTAGTCAATTTTTGAAAAAAGAAAATTTTTTCTCCTTGGAAGGACGAAAGAAAATTTTTTTTCTCAACATTTTTTCCCACAATGGATGCATTCAACTTTCCATTGTCTCAATACTCAAGTTAATTGAATTAAATTACAGTTCGCGCCAAAAATTTGTAGTCGGGTGTGACAATTATTTAATGTGGAAAACTTTTTGTGGCATTTTTGATGAGGAAAATTTCCATGAAAATTTTTTTCTGGATATTTGTGAGTCTGTGTGTATTTGCTAGATACATACAAGCATGATATTTTTTGTAGAATGATGACTACATTCTGAATTCAATGAATTGTTGACGAATGAGAAAAGTTTGGTTAAGGTGGATCCAAAATATGAAACTGAGATGAGGTGCACTTAAGACGTTCATAAAAAACCTAATTTTTAGACCCCCTCCCTCCTTCTGTCACAAAACTCAAAACTGTCACAGATGTCAATACCCCCCCCCCCCCCCCCCTTGTGACGTCTAATCCAAGACACAAATAAGTTATAATTTTCTGATTAAAAAATTGGATGTCACCAATTTCCTGACCCCCCCCCCCCCCTCCCTGTCACAATGTGTCACAAATTTCCTGACCCCCCCCCCCCCCTAAATGTTGGGCGTCATAAGTGAATGACCTTTAATTGAGAATAAGGCATAATTTTAATGTATTAAATTAAAACGGATATCCAACAACATTTTGCTATAAAACTAGATCCAGCTTAAAATAATAAAATTTCTATAAATTGTTTGGGGTCGTTCACTTATGACGTCCGAAATTAACGGTCATTTTTCAAAAAAGAACAATGGATTTTCTGGAATTTCTATTGTTCTATTCTTGTCACCCCCCCCCCCCCCCCTTCTATTCTGTACGTCATAAGTGAAAGGTTCCTTACAAGTTTGTGTTGAATCAAAATTATCAACATAATATTCCAATAAACAAAGCTCATTTTTATATTAAGATTCATAATAGATGCAATTAGTGGCATTTAACTGAATTATTCATTCATAATAGTGATGAAATTATGCAATACGCTCATTTGCTTAATGATCATAATTGACGATTTTATATTATTTATGATAATTTATGCCTAATTAATCTTAATCATTTTAGTAATCAATTTATTAAAAAAATTGTTATTATTATTTTGTGATCTATTTCAATTTGTATACTTAGGAATGGGGCTGGGTTCATTAGTTACAGTAGTATTGGATTTGTTGGAAAGGAAGTCGATAAATAAGCGACAATAAGGTTTGGGGTCGTTCAATTATGACGTCCGAAATTAACGGTCATTTTTCAAAAAAGAACAATGGATTTCCAGGAATTTCTATTGTTCTATTCTTTCTGACCCCCCCCTTGGACGTCATAAGTGAACGGGCCCTTTAGAAATTTATGATATTTAAGCTAATCCCGATCGACACACACTCACACATTGCCAATTAGCTTCGCTTGGTTCTAATTATACTATCAACCCGGTTGACGGATGGCAAACATTTCAACGAATTTCAATGTGTGCCGATCGGGAATGAATGTCGACTTTCATAAATTATTCTTTGAAAACAGGTTCAATCTTCGCATTTATAAGTTATATAGCTTCTAAATTGAAACTAGAATCTTAGTTTACGTTTAATGCTGCTACGAACCAATCAAACAAGAAAGACATTCATAATGTCTGTTCCGGGAACATTTTATCCTCAAAAAACAATGGGGCCGTTCACTTATTACGTCCGACATTTAGGGGGGGAGGGGGGTCTAGGATTTTGTGACAGTTCAAACAATGGAAATTTTTTTCTATTTCTATAGAATTTTTGTAGCAGAGGGGGGGGGAGGGGGGGTCCAAAAATCAGGTTTTTTGATGGACGTCATAAGTGAACGACCCCAATCCTTCCTAAACCAAGATTTTTCTCATATCCAATTCTATAAACTTCTCACAATACCGCAATTAGATTTTCAGATAGAAAAACTTTTCAATATTGAATTAAAAAAAATATATTTCCATTTCCACTGACAAAGCAGCAGACAAAATAGAACAGAACTTTTCACTTCACTTAAAAAAATTCCTCAAAACGAATGAAAGAAAACCAATAATAAAATATTTTGTATATATTTCCTATGTCCCTTTCCATTTTCGATTTCAATTAAAATGGAAAAGAAAGGAACAAAAAAAAAATGATTTTTTTTTTCTATCAAAAATGCCCGCAAAACAAATTTTTTATTACCATTTCCGCTTTTTATTCATTTCCCTCAATTGCCAGATCGATGAATCTCCTCAACAATATAAAATAAGATTTAGTGAGTTGTGTGGCTCAAAAGGGCAACAAAAAAAGTGAAATAAAGACATAAACCAAGTGTAATAAAGTAAAAGAAAGTTTAAGCAAATAATAAAGAGCCGTGTATGTCGAATGGATATATCCACTTAAAGCAAATTAAATCTGCAAAGGATAATTAACCAGAGCAAGCTGAGGACGAGAGATAAAGTAAAGAAGAAGCGGCAATGGATCACAAAATTTTATTTGGATTTTTAATAACAATTTTATTGGTGCTTAATGGCATCATTGCTGGAGATCAGGAGGAGGATATACCGCATAATGAGTAAGTTGTGTTGCCTGATAATTTTCATAAATTTTTAACATACTTTGCAGCCATTTAAAAAGGATTGGGTATGGGGTCGTTCACTTATTACGTCCATCAAAAAACCTGATTTTTAGACCCCCCTCCCCCCCCCCCTCTGCTACAAAAATTCTATAGAAAAAAATTTCCATTGTTTGAACTGTCACAAAATCCTAGACCCCCCTCCCCCCTAAATGTCGGACGTCATAAGTCATAAGATTTCCTAAATGATATGCAGTCATGTCCAGCATTATAATTATCCATAATCACTTAAGCTGGAAGAGTTCTAATATAAAAATTAAGGAAGCTAAAATCTTACGAACCTGTCCAGACTTCAGCATTGTATGCCTAAATCTAAGAAGGGTTATGATACAGGCACCTATACACAGGTAAGAACCGTACAATTCCTTGAAAAATTATAAGGTTTTATAACAAAACCATACAAATTCTAATAAAACCTCACAAATTATCAAGAAATTGTACGGTTCTCACCTGTGCACAGGAGCCTGAATCTAAGAGACTATCTCCCAATTCAACTAAGAACGCAGCTTGTTGACAACTTCATTTCCAATTAAAATTTAAAACTTCTTTTAAATTCCAATTAAAACTTGATTTAAAATCTTCATTTAATCCGTCAAGCAAGAAATCAACATAAAAATTATTACCATAACTGCTAAACCTTAATAATGATGATGATATGTAACTTCAAAGTCAGTCATAATAAACTTTATCGTGGAGTGAAATTAATCAACAATTTTTGTATCCATGAAAAAGTCAATTAGTTTAGTCATAAATGCGCTTCTGAACCAACAGCTAGACGCTAATTATCGTATCAAAATATAAACTCTTCATCATCTGCAAAAAAAAAAACTGAGTATAAAATGTTTGTGTCTATAAACATTCACTTGCTGTGAAGGGTCTTTGCGGTGGTGAATGTGAGAATGAGTTGAGGATTGTGATAAATTAAATTACACTGTTTGTTGCTGTTATTAGAATGATGGAGATGGAATCTCGTATGCTCGGGTAATTAAAGAATTATGACTTGTGTGTTTGTGATGATCCTTCAATTAAAATTTCATCATCTAATAGCCATACATACATCCACAGTGGCCATGGAAATTTGTCGAGAGCTTACTAATCCTCATCAAAAAATATGGAATGTATTTTATGTGTCAAATCTCTCTCAGTTAATGATTTTCAAGTTTTTATTCCTTCTTCCTCTTAATAAATTTTGTCGACATTCGAGATGCTTTAGGAGAAAGAAAAATATTAAATTCCAAGTTTCTTCTTGTATTTGTTTTCCTTAAAAATTGGAATTTCCTACCTTCGAATGGGTAATTGCTTAACAGGGCGTAAAATATTTATTTTCTTCATTTTCGTACAGCATAATTGACGTAAAAGATTGTTTTCTACAAAATTTTCTCAATTACAATTACCTTTTGCGTATTCTGATACTCTTTTGTCATTACTATTTTCAATTATTATTGTACTTATGTCTCCCTCATTGAGGATGAGTACGAAAGTCTTAACATTCAAAAATGCTTTTAAATTTGGTCTGGGAGAAGTAAAGAAACCAAAATTTTGATTAGAATTGGCTTCTGTGCCTTAATAGATGTGTTGAAAAATTCATGGATCTAATTGGTTTGAGTATTTTTGGGGATATAAAGTGATTTGAGGAATTTGAAATTCATATCTTGACGAGAGCTGATTGTTTAATGATTTTCAAACTTGTGGGATACTCATTAAGTATTATAAATTGAGACTAAATGCCTGATGTTATTTTTCAAGTCTTCTGTCCATAGATTTTTTAAGTATGTACTCAAATTTTAGGCTGCTACTTAATTCCTCTACACCAGACTAGTCAAATCTAGATTTAAAGGAAACCACTACAAATTTAGTGTCAGATTATCAATGTCAATAAACTATATCCTCATTTTTAAGGCTTGAATCTTCTGTAAACTTTCAGACAAAAAACCCAGCAACGGAAATCTTTCTATGATTATATCAAACTGATTATCAACATTATCAGCCATAAAATAACCTCAAAAAACCCACATATTGTATTAATTTTACAGCCCAGACCCAAAACTCTCGCAAATTTTGCATGACTCGACAGAAACAAAGCTCAGTCATCAAATTGAACATAAAAAGTCCAGAAATAGCTACGCCAAGAAATTTTTATTACCAAATTGACATAAATTTATGTAAATAATGAATGAATTATTTCTCTCTGGCAAGCTATTTCCGACTTCATTTCATTCTATTTAAAAAGCCGACATACGAAAAATTGATCTTTTCATTCTTCTTACATTAAGAATATTCAATTTCCATAAATTATTATTTCTTCGAATGAAAAATGTCCAATTAACATGATGATTTTTTTTATATCATCACTACAATGCTGTTGCATGCTCTGTTAACGAGATATATCCATGGCTTTTTGTTAAGTTATTTTTAAGTTGAAAAATGATATTTATTGAAGGTAATGGAAAGGTAAGCACACAGAAAAGGAAAAGTAAAATATTGAATGAGTAAATTTCGTTCTTCTAAGATAAACAAAAAGGAAGTACTGCCCGAGTTGCTCATAAACTTGAATTGAATAGCTTGAATTCAAGGTTTAAAGAAACAAACTTGTCATCAAAAGTTGAGATGCTATAATTTTCTGAAAGTTTTGCTATAAAATTCAAATTTCAAACTGCCGTTAATTTTTCAAATTTTAGAATTCCGTTAAAATATGTACAGTTCGGTTACCAGTAAATAAACAAAAGAAACTTTAACTTCCTTCAGCCCCGCCACATCATTGTGGATTTAACCTTCCTTAACGTTATTGATTTTCAATCTTCCATAGAATGCCAATTGAATTAAAATAATTGAATTGTGATGAGGCTAATGAGTCAGGTAGATATCTCTAATCGACTACCGCAACATGGCTTGATAATTTAATATTTTTTTTTTGCTTCTACCCAGAGCATTAAGAATTATGGAATTAAGAAACTCATTAAAAATTCAAATTGCGAGAACATTAAATGTAATTAATGAAGAAGCGAGAAAAGCGAAGAGGCATAAAATTAATTTTGGTTGTGCCGCTTATTAGCAGGTAGACGCTCCACAATTATCAGATCTGATGGTTTTTCAATGGGAAATTTTCTTTTTCCTGTTTTTTAATGAGCGTTGTGGGAGAATATTTACATAAAATCAAGTTAATCTATGCGATGAATTGAAAATTCAAGAATAATTTATTGAAAATTTGAGAATGATTAATGCGAGGGTGTTGATATGAGTGCAAAGTGTTGGATATGAAGATTCTTAATTACTTTAAGTTGGTCTAAAACGTTGCGTAATTTTTCTACGTCAAAAATACGCACGTACCTTAAAAATGCGTACCCAAAAATACCCCCGTCAAAAAAAATCCATTAAATTCAGCATAAATAAGCATTTCATCATTCCTTCATCCAAAGTTGACATTTTAATATAAAGTCAAAGAAAAATCTTCATTCATTATTTATCTTTATGTCATTCATAACAGCTTGATAGCAGTAAATTATTCAACATCAAAAATTTCAAATTATGAAGGAAATTTTTCAGCATTACTAAAAAGCTTTCTCGTGTTTAATTTAATAAACCTACGCAGAATTTGAAAGTTGTCGCTCTTTGATGGCAATCGTAATGAAAGTACTTTCAAAGTCTTCAAACAATTTTTTGACTCAGTTAGAAGCAATTTCATTAATGATAAATCGAATGAAATTTGAATTGAGGGGGGAAACATCTCGAAGGGAAATTTACAATTAAATTAAATCAAGCTTGAATTTTTGAAATTTAAAAAATGAGGGGCTTTTGGAACATTTTAAATGCTATAACATATATTTAAGGTTCGATATGAGTTTGATTTTTGAAAATCATTGATATGTTATCCCCCTTCTCATATAAATTCTAAGGAGATTTCAAAACTATATTCGTCTTTATACAGATGGTTTTCCAACTCCTCCACAAGTAACTTCGATGAAAAATCAAAAAGCAGCCATTTAAATACTTTTTTCCCATCAACTTAAGACAGATTCACAGACAGCATGAAAGGTTGATGAGATTATTTTCCCACGAGGATATTTTGTGAAATGATTTACACGTAAACAAAAAGTTTGTTGTAAGCAGCCAACACTCAAGACAAAATCAAATTAAATCGAATCAATCTAAAGAAGTTTAATCACTTTTATGTTAATTAAAAGCTATTGTCAAGTAAGGTGTGATCTCATTGCCTTAAAACCATGTTAACTGATGGTAATTTCCATGTTGAATGTCGTACTAATTATGCAATTATCATTTGATTATAATTATATAATTAATTTTCAATTGTCGTACATCCTCATTGTGTTGATTATTGTCCTACAAAAGCCTTTAATGTTGTTTTATCACCTAAGGGGATTTCCTCGAAATGGACAACAAACTTTCACATGTTGAAGCTTTTAATTATGAATTATTTCGTAATTACATTTTTTTTTTGTTTGGTACGACAATCAAGGATTGTGAAGGATGAAGTCATTGCTTCTGATTAATTGGGGTTTGTAAAGAGTTTTTGGGGAATTTGAGGTTAAAAACATTTATTTTGAATTTTTGTCATAGCAACTGAACTAAACGTTATGATTAAGACAAAGCTCCGATGGGGATTGAACCTTTTGCTTATGAGGGGTTAGCAACTACACAAGGGGTAATCAACTAATTGTAGTTGTATACATAATTTGAATATAAAGTAACCGTTAATATATTCTCAAAAAGAAGAAAGTCTAGTACTTAGATTTTTAATAGTCTTCCTTCAAATCTGTCCACAAGTTCTGTCTCCTCCTAAATATAAATCATCCAAGATTTGATTTAAAATGTTTATAGTCATCATTAAATTCTTATAGTTCACAAAACTTTCATTCTGAATCAACAAAAAATAAACTATGACACAATATAACCGTAATTTACATTTAATGAATAGAAAATAA